GAAAAGATGGTTACAGTGTAGATGAAAGAGAATTTCTTGGTTGTCCCACTTACAGCCCAAGAAGCCTCTATGTGATGGCATTAAAAGAGAGAAGAGAGTGAAAACTTAAAGCCTCGATTGATTGTGCATTGCACCCAAATCCTTTGTGCCAACTCAGATGCTAGCATATCAAAGGCTTTACTCTAGATGAGAAAACAATGACAATCACATCAAAACACCTAAATAGAAGAAGAGCATCATTTCTAAACATGAATTATACATTGAAAAAGGTTGAGAACAACAAATGAGGATTATAAGTAGGGCTACATGTATGGAAGTTGTTCAAAATGATTTGTGAATCTCAAATAACACTTAGCAAAAATAAATGAAGATAAGGATGCATAATGTTGACCCCAAATAGTTAGGATAAAACTAAATGAAGACTTCAAAAAATGGGTATAAGTACCCGAAGCTAGATAGTTTGGCAAGGTAAGGCAGCAAGCAGCAGGCAACAATCAGTCAAGTACCAGAAAGAAAAGATAAGAAAAAGTGTATAGGCTAAAGCAAATTGTTGAAAATGATTTTTCCAAGTGAAAAACCAATAGCTAAGAAAGACAAACAAAACAAGAAACATTGACAAGACCAGCCACTAAAGGTAGGTAAAACTCAAATAATGCTTATGCGCAAGATAATAATAATGATACTAATTGGCGTAAACATGGCATATTCATAGGAATGTAACAAGATAGAAGAAATCTGACTATTGAAACATTTAACAAACACATTATCATATATATATATATATATATATATGCACTAATATAGATATATGTGGTTTCCCTTATTTATGTTTTAAACTTCTGATTTAAACCGCCCAAGTACCTGGCATACATCAACAATAATAGAATTATTACGAGCAATGTGGTTTGCCCAGTATTCATCTGCAACTTCTTCATCAGGACGTCCATCTGCATCTTTAGACTTTATATAAGGCCTATGCTTTACCCGGTTCAAATCTTCATGAAGTCCATCTAAAAGAAATGCCAAAAGCTCCTGAAATGGGCCATACATCATTAAGCATGAAAAAGCTGCACGAGCAAATAAATTAAAAAGCAGAACAACTAAAACCTGAGAGTCATGTTGATTATATCCACTAAACTGAGGAGCAAAACGAGCAAGTTTTGCCTTAAATGGCCGAGGAGAAACTGACGTTCGGCCAGGACCCCATAGTTTTCTTAGTAAATCCCCAAATGCCATAGCAAGCTCACCCTACACATCAAAGTTTAGTTAGCAGCCACATATAGAGGACTTTCATATAAGCAGACTTCACATTACTGCAAGGAGAACATTAATGATCAACAAGGATTGATAGAATTATACAACAGCAGGGGAAACAACAATTCTTAATGTCATAAAAAGCCTCTAAAAACAGGTATTGGTTCCAGCATATAAACGGCGTCATATCAGCCAACAGCCATATGCACATTTTATTAATGACAGCTTTCAGAAATTTGATCAATAATGTTCTACAAAGACACTTTTTTCCCACATATTGCTAATTCATCATGAATTAATCTGAAGGATCATGTTTGTTTATCAATCCTTATTCCTTCGCAGTATTGAACTGTAAAATTCAAAGAATTTAAGAGGTAAAAGGCTTAATTTTATTGCACAAACTTGTCCTTATTTATAGATCAATACAATATATCTTAATAGAGAAACAAATAATTGTAGAATCATGCATAATTGCTCTAATATAATGCTTCCTAAATCAATCACCTAAATATCGAAGGAGATCAGCGCGATCTCTATGAGCCTCCCAGGGATTCCCATCCTACCTGTGAGATCAAAATGCTAAGGGACTGCTAGGATTTAATAGGTGAGCCTCCCATGGATTCTCAACCTAATTGTGGGATCAAAATACCAAGGGACACCTAGGATTTAACACTCCCCCTCAAGCTGGGAATACAAATCCGTCATTCTCAGCTTGGTAATCAATCCCAAAATGATAGAGTTATCGAGTCCCACAGTAAGAATATTTGCAAGCTGATATTTTGATGAGATAGGGTCGATACATACAAGACCACTGACTAATTTCTCATTTATAAAATGTCTATCCACTTCTATGTGCTTGGTCCTGTCATGATAAACCGAATTGTGAACTATGTTGAATTTTTATTTGTTGTCACAATATAACTTCATGGGTCCCACTTGATCCTCAAGTCTTCTAGAATTATCTTGATCCATAGTAGCTCAAATATTCCTAAGTTCATAGCTCTGTATTCGGCTTCTGCACAAGACCTTGCCACCGCATTCTATTTTTTGCTTCTTCATATAACAAGATTTCCTCCAAGAAATGTGCAATATCATGAGGTAGATCGTCTATCTACTGGTGATCCTAAGTAATCTACATCAGTATATGCTTCTAGTGTTATTCCATAGTCTCTTTTGAAGAAAATCTTTTTACTGGGTTTCCCTTAAGATAGTGTAGTATTCTATCTATAGCTTGCATGTGAGTCTGCTTTAGATTTTGCATGAACTTGCTGAGCATGCTTACATCAAATGCTATATATGATCTGGTGTGGTAAAGGTAAATCAATTTTCCCACAAGTCACCGATAAGCTCCTTTATCTATATTTGGATCTTCTTTAACTTCCCCCAATTTGAGATTTGGTTATCTGGTGTTGGTGTCAATTTACAAGCTAGTTTATCTGTTTCTTTAAGAAGATCATTAATATATTTTTGTTATGAAATGAAGATTCATTTGCTAGTGTGGGTCACTTCAATTCCAAGAAAATATTTTAATTTACCAAGATATTTGATCTCAAGTTACTTTGCAAGACATTTCTTTAGAACCACTTTCTCCTTTTCATCATTCCCAAACAAGATGATATCATCTACATGAACTAATAAAATTGTGACTTCCCTTGAGTTTGACTGCTTGAAGAATAATGTATGGTCTCCTTAGTTCTACCGATAACTATTAAGTAGCATGACTTTTGAGAATCTTCCAAACCAAGTTCTAATTAACTACTTTAGCCCATATAGAGCATTTTTTAACTACACACTTTGTTACCCCCAGATTTTTCTTTGAATCCTAGTAGAATCTCCATAAATATTTCTTCCTCTAAGTCACTATGTAGGAATGAAGTTTTGACATTCACTGTTCCAGATGCCAGTTAAAATTAGTTGCTAGTGAGAACGAGGTCCTCATAATGTTCAACTTGGCCACAAGTGCAAAAGTTTGCAAGTAGTCAATGTTATACGTCTGAGTGTACCCTTTCCCCACCAGTTTTTCCTTATACCTTTCTAGTGTCCCACCAGTCTTTCCTTCTACCTTTCTGCTAATCATTATTAAGTAGCATGACTTTTTGTCTTTTTGATTTTTAAGGAAAAAGAAAGACTTGTCCTACAATCTAAGTCTATGATATCAAATTAATGCAATCTAGGCTCTTAAACCAAGTAGGAGAACACTGGGAATGCAAATTAAGATACTTTCTTTCAACATCACACAAACAAACACAAAAATTATGGACAATTAACATAAAAGTAATATGAAAATTTGTTAGGAAGTCGTATAGGAAAGAACAAATAACAAAAAAAAAACTATAAACCTTCATAAAAATCACAAATGATCACCTCACATGCAAATACAAATTAGGGAAGGTGCTCGGAGGAAAGGACAAACTAGCGATCCGCCAAAAGAATTAGGTCCCAACACAGGACTTAGCTCCTCCAGCATATACCAATAGAACATGGCACAACACCACTTACAACTCACAATAGTTTAGAGAAGAAATATATGGGTGGAAAGGAATCTGTGAAGTATAGAAATGGAAGGAAGAACGAGAGGAAGAAGTAGTGGTTAGGGAGAAGACAGCTTGCAAGCTAAGAAGAACCCTCATGTTTAAAATAAACAGTTAAACACCCTTAAAAAACTCCACCCTAAAGAAAATCAGTATATATATACATATAGGAGAAAGAAAGGGAAATAGCACTTAACTGCTCAAGCAATTAATCCAAATCCATTTGTCACAGAATCAAT